TCCACTCCGATTTTTTTCTGGCTACATGTAACCTTACTGAAATGAGCAAGGTCTCTTCCTCCGTCTATTTCCGTATAGTATGAATGATACTAAATAATACTAACTGGGACACTACACTGCACTAAATAATACAGAGGATACTGCTAAGGAAGAAAAGGGGATTATTTTTCTAATTTACCAAGTAATAAGATTCTCTTCAACAGATAGAGTATTTTTTTTTAAAGGTGGAAAATTTTACTAGGAGAAAAAGCAGTTACTTATCCATTTTTATGAGAATTAGGAAAGTCTCAAACTACATAAAGCAAAACGAGAAGATAAAAACATTAAAAGAAAATGTGGTTTCATGAAACAGGAGCTGAAGTAGAGAAGGCTTCCTGTGTAAAAAAATTTTAATTCTCACAGTGGTGATTAAAGGTAATAAAAGAATAATGGGAAGTGGCGCCAGGGATACAGGGCAGGTTAACATCATTTGAGATTACTATAAAGGAACACGGAAGAAACACACCTTCCAGAGCCACTTCAGGTTTGAACCTGTGGGTCTCTTTTGTCTTATTTACGCATACAGAAGTGTACACCAAATATCATCACAGCTTAGCACATTTCAGAGTCAGAAGGCCAGAAAAAGGAATGTTCCCTGCAGGCCAGGGTTCTGATGACTGGCCAAATACTAGCAAGCTTGCCCTGCAGCTTCTGAACCACACCCAGTCTACAGTTAAATACAGGATTCAGTTTCTGGAACTGTTGGTCTTCTTAACCTTCACAGTCCAAGTACTCACTGAAAAAAACTAAAAGTAAAGAGGAGAAAGGAAAGAGACTGAAACCAAAATCCAAGTACTAATAAACTGTCCTGGGAAGAATTCCAAAATGCAGTAAATACCAAGAGAATTAAATTACAGAAACCTCAAGCAGCATTCTAGAAACACTGTTAACAAACAGATTTGTCTCTTCTATGCTGTTTTTTCCAGGATGTACAATACACTTATATAAAATGCATTTGTGTACTAGATCCATGTCTCTTATTCACATTACATATTCAGACTGTACAACATGTCAGCTTAATAGCAGTGACACCAAATTTAGAGCTGTGATTTAATTCTGGCTTGTTATAGTATTGTGGTTGTGAAGTTATTTTTGTTCATAAAGAGGCACTTCCATCCTAAGAAACTATTTTTAGATGCTTAAATTTGGGGGAAAGAGACTCTTAAGCTGAAATTTTTAACACTGAATCTTTGCTTGTTGGGGAGAATAATTTGGGTTCATTTTTTAAAGTTGTTTTGAAGATTGACAAAGGTTAAAACAACAATAAAAGATGTTTTCCTTATAATTTCAGAAGGTTCTGGACTTTAATAACAATTTTGTTTTATAATAGTTCACAGAAGATGAACACGAAAAGAAACCTAAGAGGAACAAAAAACATATTACAGGTGTACTGTTTCCATTTAAAAAAACATGCAACAGTTTTAATGACAAACACAGAGATATTCCTTTTCCCTTCGTTTTCCTGGACACATCCAGATACAGACTCATTATTCAGCTACTATGACCAAAAATAACAGCAATAAGTAAACTATATACTTAAATCTAGCTGTAAAGCGGGCACTCGTAACCATTACATTCTGTTGCTTCTACCTGTCACAGCTAGGGGCTTTTATTCATTCCTGTATCTAGTCAAAGCCTTTTCCAAGTTGTTGATTCTCTTTCTGTCTTGCTTAATGGGGCTGAAAAACCAATATAAGGAGATTTGAAGGTTTCTTTCACCTTTCTCTCTTGAGACCAGAATAGATACAACAGCCAGGTCTTATCCTTTGGTGTCCCAGTCAAATATCCCAACACTCCAAAGACACATCTGTTTCTAAAGCTAAGAGAATACCCAGCCCAAATGGCAGAAAGGTTAAAAGGAAAGAGTACATCAGAAGCTTTGCTTCTAGGCCATAAAGCATCTAAAACTTAGACCATGAACTCTAATGGTACAGACGCTGTCTCCCAGAAGAAAGCGCTCTGAGCATCTTCAGGCCTCCTCGGTTCATCACCCTTTACGTCTTCACCCTCGGCTGCATCCATTCTCTCTGTTCCTAGCACTTTGCCTCATACCTAGCAATTACTTTGTTGAATGAACGAACAAAAGGACAGTTAGGTTTCCTGAATAAAAATCCCACCTGAGTATTCTGTTCCATTATGTGTACATGCAGGTATTTCAGACATATGATCCAGATGGTGTTCTTCCCCCTTGTGAATATGTAAACTACTTGAGGTAGCCTCGCTCAGTGCTAGCCCGTAACACGTCTATAAATAAATGACTGAATGAATAAATATTAGTCAATATCTGATTCTATTTTTATCTATTAAAATCTAGTCAAGTCTCATTTAAATAATAACAATAATCTTTTAATTACGGTAAATTTCAAACCTGCACAAGTATAATATATCCATGAACCTCCATGTACCTAGTGTCAGCTTCAACAATTATCAATCATTTTTTCATTTTTGTTTTATCTTTTCTCTTTATAATCTCCATTTGCTCTTAAGCAAATAGAAGGTTGCATCACACGCTAATCTAGTGGCATCAGACTTCAGAGTTAACCAAGGCCAAGTCCATATATTAAAAACAATCAGTATAACCCAAATAAAAATACATTCCTCTTGGTTAACAAGGAGAACTCACATCCATGGTTAGCACTGTCTAAAGGCCTACACATGGCTGGGCCACTAATCGCGTCTGTGACCTTGGGAAGGTGTTCAGCCTTGGCTGCCTCATGAGGAAAGGAGAAACCAAGAGTGCAGTGAGGCTTAAACGTGGACTATAAATATATGTGAAACCCCTAATACTGTACTAAACAAATGTTTCTTTTTAGAAACAGCTATATCAAGATAAAATTCACATACCAAAAAAAAAATCACCCACTTAAATTGTACAATTCAATAACTTTTAGTATATTCACAGAGTTGTGTGAGCATTATCACAATTTTAGAAATTTCCATCACCCCAAAAAGAAACCCAACATTCTATACCCTTTATTCCCTCTCCTCCAACATCCCCAGCCTCTCCAGCCCTAGGAAACCACATGTCTACTTTCTGTCCCTATAGTTTTGCCTATTCTGGTTATTTCTTATAAAGGAAATCATACAATACTACTCTTTGTGACAATAAATGTTTCTGGAACTGGATATTTTAAAAGTTAAATATGTGGTACAGACAATGCGATGAGGTCAGGGAAGTGGAAAAGGCCTAATAAGGGGTGAGTTGGTTGGCTGGTTTCTTTCTTTCTTCCTGGCTGTGTGTCCGTCTGTCTGTCTATCTATCTACATCTACTGTAAGCCAGGCACCACTGAGATACGTGCTAGGGAATATTACTGAAGTGCTTTGGGGATGGTAAGAGGCGTGTGTTACCCTGCTAACAGGTGGGTAGTTAGTGAAATTCTCCTCTGAGCACTTCATTTTCCTTATTTAGGAAGTCAGATCATCGTAAGAATGAGGATGGGGGTTTGCAGAGAGCACAAAGTGTGATATAATTGTTTAGGAGAGTGGGAAAGAATGAACCAGGAAGGTATAGTATGACCGTCTGGCACAGTTAAAGACCCACTTGAGGTTCACGATCATGAATTTAAAATGAGATCAGTCAGAAGGGTTTTAAGTTTTTCTCCAGCTATGATTAGCTGCAAAAATGCAGGAACAGTATAAGCAAAAACGTGGAAACAGAAGAGGCAGGCTTAAACAGGGTACATTAGTACTCATGGCTTTAACTGTACCTACTGTATTGATGACTGCTAAATTTCCCTTTCCAACTGAAATTTCCTAACATAGAAATCTTGGGCTGACTTCACAGTCAAAGCTCTAAGTGGAAGGAATTTCACTAGAAAAGGAACATTTGCTCATTTCTGGTTACGACAAAGGCATTCTACTATGTGCTTTACACCTATTACCTTACATAACTCTAGTTAACTCTTCTCATCATCAACTTCATTTTACAGAAAATTGAAATTCCCACAGATTAACATAGGGTGAAACTAGGACCGAATCCTAAGTCTGTAGGACTCTGCCTTTTTACTTAACTCTTCTTTTCATAGATATAGCAATTGGAGTTAAGAGGTGTTGAATGATTTGCCTGGAGTCGATCTATTTTCTAACGGTACAGATGTTGTCTCCCAGGGGAAAGCTCTTTGAGCATCTCCAGTGCTAAACTGTCTTTTACACTTTTTACTCTGTCATCTCTATGTTCAGTCAGTAACTGGGTTAGGTTGTTTTTTCCTTCAGTTTTTTCCCGGATATGTTATTTTCAATTGTTTTCACCTCTGCCTAATATATTCTTTCTCTACATTTAATCTTATGAAGTAAATACTTTTCTAATAGAAAATTGTTACCTTATTGCATATAAAACTCTCCATCAAAATTCTGTAACCATTACTTATAGGTACTAGACTAAAAGGATAATTATACTGTGGGATCCACCCTAAATACACTGAACATTCCATAACCACATTTAATTAATTTATACCATCTCAAATGGGAAGACTGAAGCTAAGGTCAAATTCAAGTTTAAAAAGCACTAAGTACCTACTATGGATTAGGTACTAAAAAATCAAAGCCAAAAACTAGTGCTTCTAACCTTTGGGACTAAGCTCTTTTAGGTCGTTCTCTTTATCAAAGAAAGTTAAGTCTTAGTGGCCTCCTACATAATTACTCAATATTTTTTATGAAAATAAGACTTCAAAGAGTTCTTCTGAAATCTAACACAAAGATCTAAACAAAAAAATTCTCCTGAAGTTTCCTAAATTACTGAGGATGCTATTCAACTATATTGATAGATGCTAACTCCAGTCTTCTGAATTCTCAATGGTGAGATCATCTTATTTCAATAACACAGCATTTAATGCTCCAAAACACTTTTAGAGAGAGAACCTAGGTCTCAAATTACCTGTTTGAAATGAAGAGTGTCCAAATCTATCCAAAGTTTCTCTTCCCTAAGTTTGGGAGATTGCTCCTAGGAAAAGGAGACACGTACCTTTCCATGACAGCCAAGCACTCCTTTCTCCAGGTAAATCGACTCCCTCGTCGAAGTCGGAAGGTACCAGACGTGGCTGAGACCGGGGGAGGCGTTTGTCTCCATTCTGGGTCCTCTATTGGAATGGGGGCTGGTCTCATACTTAGCGTAGCCCCTACAATAAACAAGACATTTTTGGCAAATATCCCACAATTTACTAAAATCAACATTACAAATATATATGAAATATATATGAAATAAACAATAAACTTTTGTCCCTCCATTGAAACTTGCAGGCCCAATACACTTGATGTTAACATTTAAAAAAAAAATTATTCGACCAAAGTAAAAATTCAAAGAAACAAAAACTCTTTCTCAAAAAGTCCATCATTAAAAACTTTAAATGTCATTTTCTTTTCAGTCTATCATTTGTCTTTTTATCTTTGTTTATGTCAATTTTTGAAGCAAAGCTCAAAATCTCTCTCTTCAGGGGAAAAGGGAACTACGGTATTTGGCCCAGTGACAACTTAATCAGATTATTTTCCTCTGAAAAATCGCTCTTGAAATTCCTACTTGATAGTTTGAATCTTTCTGAGCAATATATACTGTATGTTCAGAATCTTCCATTACCACTCAAAAAACTTCTTGTTATTGAGGAAACGGAGCCCTTTAAAGAATATATGCAAGTAGGGGATAAATTTTAAATAACCCTAATTATTGCAAACTCCTTTTAAGAAAAAAAGTCAAATACAGCATCAAAAAAAAGAGATGTTATTTGATATGCCTTTAGTCTATTAACTCAATCAGATCTCCACAAGTCTACTACCCGTCACTACTGTACTGTTTTTACCTCTTGAACATAATAAAACTAATGAAAAAAATGTATAATTGAGATACTTTACTAATTCCGACTAGCCTTTTCTCAACCTGAACTGATGATCACGCATGTACGTACATATTTCTTTCTTCATAACAGGAATTATACTTTCTTTATTGTACCTTGCAATTAGTACAGGGGTGGTGGTTCTACTTTACTACGTACAGATCTGTTTGTTGATCGCCCCTTAATGGCTACATCTTTACATGCATTGTTTTATACAGATGTCCAATATTTTAACCAATCCTGATTTTCCTCTCCAAACCTACTGTCCTGCAGGCTTTCCCATCTGAGTAAATGGCTCCCTATTCTTCAGATTGCTCAGCTCAAAAATCTCAGATTCACTTTGACTTTGCTATTTTTCCCACATACTATGTATCTAATTCACAGGCAAATCCTGTCAATTTTATCTTCAAAGTATATGTAGAATCAGACCAATTTATATTACCTTCACTGCTACCACTTCAGAGTAAGCCAGCACCATCTCTCCTAAGCATAACTTCCTGGGATAGGTTCCCAGGATGGCCCTTCACAATAAGTCACACCTCCTGGCAATCACCCCCTTGAATCTGGGCTGGTCCTGTGACATGTTTTTTACAACAGAAAATGGAAACGGTTCAAGGCTAGGTCACAAGAAACTTTGCAGCTTCTGACTAGATCTTCTGGAATGCTGGCTCGGGGGAAGCCAGTTGCCATGTAAGACGTATTGACTAACCTGAGGCCATGATGTTGTGAGGAAGCCAAAGCTAGCCACATGGAGTGAAAGGTGCCCAGCCTGCCCCCAGGTGCTCCTGCCAAAGCCACCAGGCATCAGACATTTGAGGAAAAAAGCCACTTGGGACATCTAGCTGCAGCAGACACCATGTGGAGAACTGCAAAAAGCCAGCTGACAGAAATAAGGCGCTAGAAATGCAGTCCCAATACCGTTGTGTGGTAGCCAGCTTCCCAGGTGGCACCTACGGGCCCTCACCTCCCGGTATTCACCCCATTGTACCAGGATTAGTTTATGTGACCAATAACATATGGCAGAAGTGACGGCGTGCCACTTCCGGGACTAGACTGCACAATGCACTGTGGTGTCTGTGTCATTGCTCTGCCTCTGGGATCACTTGCTCAGGGGAAAACTAGCTGCCATGTTGCAAGAACACTCAGGAAGCCAACACTCAGGCAAGGCCCATGTGGTAGACCTGATGTCTCTGGCCAACAGGCAGGAAGGAACTGGGGACCTGCCAAAACTCACGGGAGTGACCTTAGAAGCAGACTGTCTTGCCCTGCTGACCACAGTCCTGGCTGACAGCTAGACTACAACTTCATGAGAACTCTGAGCTAGGACCACCCTAGCTAAGCCACTCCTGAATTCCTGACCCACAGAAACTGTGAGATAATAAATGTTTGTTGTTTTCAGCTGCTAAGCTGTGGGATAATTTGTTGCACAATAATACAGAACTAATATAAAACATCACAACCATCTCCAGTTTTTAATTTCCCCAATTTCCCAACACACCGAGTACTGTGTTACTAATTATTCACATTTATAAATTTATTTGGCAGGGAAAAAAATTCTCTTTAAGGATTTCAGTAAGAATGAGCATCTTTTCCTGTTTACTGCCCATTATAATCTTCTTTTGTGAATTCATACCTTTTGTCATTTTTTTCATTTGAGTTATTCCTCTTATTGGTGTATAAATACCACACCAACTGCTAGTCCTACAGACCATAACTATTTCTTTCCAGTTTGTCGTTCATCTTTTTATTTATGGTGTGCTTTGTGATCTTAATTTTTGTGTGGTCAGATCTGTTAATCTGTTCTTTTATGGTCAATGCATTCTGTATTATTCAGAATATTTTTACAGTTTTCATTTTTGTGTAAACCCGTGATAGAGATATGATTTCCTGTTGTGTGTGATGTAAAGTAAATATCTGACTTCTTCCTCAAATGGCACCATATAAGACATTAGAGACTAACAGTTTAAAATGTGTGGTACACTCTGGCTTGCTGCCACAGTGTAGCTAAAGTTTTACTGGCACACAGCCACACTTGTTCATTTACATAGTGTCTCCTTTTTGTACTATAATGTGAGAGTTGAGTAGCTGAGACGGAGACCACACACCTTGCAAAGCTTAAAATATTTATTATCTGGTCCTTCACAGGAAGTTTACTGACCCCTGGTTTAAAAAATTCCTGGCCTACACACTATGAAACACTAAACTGAAACTCCTTCTTTAGATAGTTCAAGAAGGAGGGTTCCATTCTGCCAAAATAACTTGGCGATTAGGTCTGAGCCCAATTAAAAGTTAACAAAGTTTAGGCGTAAGAAGGAACTATGATGCTGGAGGGCTTCAAAGTCCTCGTTTTGGTACTTTTCTGAATGCAAGCAGGATTTAAGTACAATGAGGGCTCTAGAATCTAAGTTAGATTATATAAACTTTGTTCTACAGCCACGTTAAAAGGTCTAAAACGGAGCCAAACTCGCCACCATGGCTGATAAAGACATAAGGAGAAGGCAACTGGGTAAGGTAGCAGGTCCTCTCATCCCAGGTCTGGCTCTAATAAAAGGATAGAGAGTTTCAGGGCTTCAGTGGGTGGAGGATGAGAAACAGGTCAGTGAGTTCCAACTAGTAGGCCAACACCTAGAACTACGGCATGCTTTCTTAGAGTCTTCAGTGGGCACAAAGAATACAAAGAATCTTAACTGAACCATGAGGTTGAAGGAAAAAAGCCAACTGGTAATAATGATTCTTTCCTGGTATTAGGGCTTACTGGTAATGTAACTACGCTTCTTTACAGCATTCTGTACTATCCAAGTGCTCTATAAAAAGGAAATTTAGATGGAAAAAAAATTGATCAGGAAGGAAAAAAAGGAGGGAGAGAGAAAAAGGAGGGCAAAAAGAAGAGAGAGAAGTACACAGTGGTCAGGTTAGTTTAAAAGAAATCAAAGCAATTTATACACAGAAGGTGGAAACTGAATAATTTTAAACTTGTAAACAAACATACTTAATTTGAAACATAATATTATCACATTACTTCTGAGGGTTTTTTCCTTGTTGCTTTTTCTTTTTCAATGCAGCAGCCCTTAAAATTAGCACAAGAAGCACTCTGGAGACACTCCAACACACACATATTTGTTCCAGAAACCTAGGTTCTTCTTGCTTTGGTTGAACGAATGGAGAGCAATGAATAGCCCAAGAATGGGTTCAAAATTATTGACTTTGATGGAAAAATACAAAGATATTAGGATGTAGGAACAATGTATGTAAGACTTTAAATCCCTCTGAAGTAAATCACAGGCATTCTGGGTTGGCTAAGTTTATGTTTTTTCCTATAGGAAGCATGTTCCCTGTGTCCTCAACAGAAACATTTTTCCCTCCACATTTTATCTATGCTCCCATTAAGACAAAATTTTACAGATTTATCTAGCAAATCTAAACCCAAGAGAGAGGGAAAAAAAACTCTTCCTAACTTATCAAAAGATTTTAACATTTTGGTAAATGTTCTCTTTGCATAATCATTTTCTTGCTTATCAGGGTTACTTATGGCTGAGCCTTTGCCAATCAGCTAATAAAAGAATGACAACAAGCATGTTATTACTGCTCCATTCATGGAAACTAGCTTCTCCAAAAGTAATTTTTCATCTTCCTCATGTCATACACATAATTTCCCTGAGGCTCTAATACTCCGCAACAGTGAAGGGAGGAGGCATTACCTCTGATCTCCAAATTTACTTCATATGCTTGCTGCATAAGCCTCTTGGCAAACTTTATTTAATTGTTTAATTTAGAAATATGCAGAATCACTGCCATGAGCCAAGAAGAACTCATCAAACCCTGTCTGCTATAGTAATGTTTAAATTAGACAAGGGAAAGGACTGTTGAGCTTAATTTGATTAAATAAAGGGGCTTTTGATGTCAACCATGCTGAATTTAGTACTCACTGCTTTTAAAAGAAATAGACATTTTCTTGTAAATGTTTTCATAAGAAATAAGATAAAACGTATTTGATCAGTTTCCATCAGCTTTTTATACTCACACGCCTTGGCAGGCTCTGGGTTTTGCTGGGAAATTCTGATGACTGGTCCGTTTATCAGAGAACTACCCTGTATCTATAGGATTATCAGTAAAAAATAACTTAAATATCCACTCTGTTATTTTTCTTGCTGAGTCCACTAAAAGAGCCACTAAAAAAACCTGATCAAATGGATCTAGAGTGAAGAGGTTGAAAAAGAGAAGAACTCAATCAATGTATACAGAGAGAAATGCTCTGAGCCCAGGAATAAAGGCACAAGAATGTACAAACATTT